TTCCGAAGATGTGGGAAATATCATAGGAGTTATAGAGTCTATGCAAGTGCTCAAAGTGGGCCAATTCTCTGACTGCCCACAAATTTACTTTTATTTTTTATTTATCAGACTTAATTCAGACTTAATTTCAGATTTATTTTATTATTTTTATTGATCTTTTATTATTTTTAACTTAGAGATTCTACTCCCATGGACTGCAGTGTGTGTTAATTCATTAATTTATTGTGTGTGTGTGTGTGTGTATGTTTTATATTTGCTAGAATCTTTTTTCACTGCAATTTGTTTCTTTAAAAAAAAACACATTTTTTCTTACGAAAATAACTGCATAAATTCATAAACACACTTTTGATAAAAAATGGCCTATGATGTAAAACATTATTTATGCCATATAGTTCAAAACATTACTGATTATTGATGTATTTGTGTGCGTCCGGCTGTCCGCATCCATGGTGAGCTCTCGGATGAGTCTGTTCGATCTTTAGTTTGGCAATGTTGCGTGGTTTCTCCTTTACTGTCATCGTGAGGAAAGTTTTCCAGGGCAGGCCGGGTGTCCAGTTTGGAGGTGTTAACTCGTTGACTGATGATGATAGTGCCGTATTTGCAAACGACGAACCACTGATATTCTTATGTTATGTTATCGCCAGTACAGCCAAACCGTATGGATTAAACATCAATATTGATAAAACAGAAGTCATGTCTAACTTAAAGGAGTAGTTCACTTTTAAAAAAATTGATGATAATTTACTCACCCCCATGTCATCTAAGATGTCCATGTCTTTCTTTCTTCAGTCAAAAAGAAATTAAGGTTTTTGTTGAAAACATTCCAGGATTTTTCTCCATATAATAGACTTCACTGGAGTCCAAATGAGAGTTTCAGTGCCGCTTTAAACGACACCAGACTATGAATAAGGGCCTTATCTTGTGAAACGATCTGTCATTTCAAAAATAAATAAAAAATTTTAAGTTGCTCGCCTTGCTCCGTTCTGTGATGCGCGTTCATGACTCTCCTGTTCATTTCAACGAAATGAATGAAATGACTTTCAAAAAAAGGAATGTTTTTTGAACATTTGTCTGTTTAACAAGTAATAAATGTCAGGTTTGTTTACGTTTTATGAAAATCCTCAAACTCTGCTCAAGGTTGTCTTGTTACTGTTTTATTTTTAGTGTTCAGGTGACTCTGTAATGTAAGCTCATTATTTCTCACATAATGTGATCTTTCCTCATTACACGATGTCTGCAGGTACAGTGTAATCCTTACAAATTGAGCCATGGGATGTGCTAACTGAGCAAATGATGCATTGTGAGGACACGTCTTGGTTAGATGGAATGAGATCGCATTGATGGCTTGTGACTAATTGGAGACTTGGGGTTATCACCTTGCTGTATTTTCATTTGTGTCCACACACGATGTACAGTCGTGGACAAACATCAGTTCCCACGAGATGACTTGTTTGTTTCCATGCGTTTGCATTACAGTTTTCCAGATCCAAATGCTTGGAAAAAGTTTTTTTAAGGCACTTCCGTTTACTCATGAGCTTACAGTCGTACGTCATCCGTCTGTGTCGCTCCACGTAATTCTCATTAAAGAGCCCCGCGAGACGTCCTGCCTGTCGCTGTCACACTGCAGCGCTTGCAGTAATGCACCTTACACGGATACAGTACGCTGAGCACTAGAGTCCCTCCTTGTTGTGCGTTCTGTCTCTGCTAGACAAGTTGTTTCCTCCTGAGGTCTAATTACTGTCCGCTAACTCTTCCTGCGGTTCCCCTAAAGAGCTCCATCAGACACACACTCATAGATCTCATCTGGCCACACACTCATACCTAGTGGACTGCCTACCTAGGCAGAATGTAAAGGTGATAAAGTTAAAAACAAATTAGGTACGCGACAACCTTATGTTGCCATTTAAGATCTCCTTTTGACCATACTCTAAGGCAGTGTCACATCTGTGCTTAACAGAGAAAACAATCCCAGAACCCATTGCTAATTAAATTAAAAGGTTAGAATTTAATTTAATTAAATTAAATTTAAGGTTTGACTTTTTACTATAAATTTTCAGTACCACTGTTATTTTAGTATTATTTATGTACTATTATTATAGATTTCTTAATTTTTAATTGGCCTTTTTCTTTTTTATATATATTAATTTGGTTCAATCTATTTTTATTTCCAGTTTTTATTTATCTCCCGTTAGTATTGTTATGCTTCAACTTATGGTTATTCTGGTTTGTTTCCAAGGCAGCATTTCTAATGTTTCATGTTTTCAGATTTATTTAATTTACAAAAATGTTTATAATCATTTTAGGTAACATTTAATAAATCTGTTAAGTACTCCATGAAATCTCAATAAAACTGTCCTATTAAAATGGTTTGTTTTTGCGGCCTATTTTTCTTTTTCTTAGTGTTGCATAGTTATCTTGCCAGCAGCCATTTCACCCTGTAGCCCAAGAATTTGCCCATTGTCCTCTGTCCATCATCATATCCTCCTAATCATCCACTTATATACATTGGCTTCATCACTCTGTCTCCTCCACCAGTAAGCTTGTTTATGTGGTGGGGCGCAATATGGCTGCCGTTGCATCATCCAGGTGGTTTATGCAGATTGGATGAATAAATGTAATGAATTATTATTATAATTATTAGAAAAATGCTAACTTTGGGATAGTTCACCCATAACAATTTTAATTCTGTCATTTACTCACCCTCAAGTTGTTCTAAACCTGTATTGCTTGCTTCTGCTAATCACAAAAGAAGATATTTTGATGAATGTTGGTAACCAAACAGTTGATGAGCCTCAATAGCCACATTTCCACTGCCCGGCTAGGGCCGGGCCAGGGCTAATAGCGAGCTGAGTCGAGCCAGTGCCCTCATGCCTCAATCACCGGGCTTGCGTTTCCACTGCCGGGCCAGTAGCCTCACAGCGCTGCCCTAAACCCCTCCCCTTTTTGGATCAAATGAAACACATCCCAACCCATTTCAGCAGGTATTAAGTGCCGAAGTTACAATGTCACTCTGTAGGCCAAAACGAGGAAGTGAGTTAGCATTTTAGCACTACCGGTTCCCTCGCTCTAAAGTCTATGGGATTTTTTTAATGGGTTTTTGCTAAATCGCCTGAAATAAGGTCTGTGGTGAACAAAGCCTCTAAATATGTTCACGTTTTAATCTATGACATAAAACACACCAGTTATAACCTGCTTGTGTTTTTTTTTAAACTTTGTTGTGTCTGCTTGTGTTTTTAAAAAATTTTATATAGTCTTCAAAATGTATACATTTTGGATTAACCTGTAAAGATTGTCTTGATAGACAAAACGTGTAAGGGTCACAACTCTTTGTTAAACACGGATCTTATTTTTTGCGATTTTCTATTTTCTACCCATGCGCCCCTAGCTTCCGAGTTGTCCTACAAAGTGACGTCATCACTTCGGCACTCTATTATGAATTAATTTATTTTTTAAGTTAGGAAGATAGCATGTATATTAACTCACCGGCCGAGGCTGCAATAGTGTCCCGATTGTCTCGCGAGGTGCCACTAACAGAGGGACGGTGACCCAGCACATCGTCCATCAGGCCGAACCATGGCAAGTTCCTTTTCTGAGCTCTGCTTTGTCCATTGTGCGCTTTAATCGCCTTGTACAATACTGCGCCCGCAACTTTTTTCATTTTTCCCTGAACTTGAAGCGTTGCTCGCAGAATGCTTAGCTTAGATAGTTCAGCATCGATGTATTTTATAACGTCCTAGTTTCTTCACATGCCGTCACATTGACGGTTGTACCCTTTCTTCTGCCCAAGTGCTCAGAAGAGCTTTGGTATCTTCGAAAGACCAGTACAGGCGATTCTTCATTTCAAGCAGCAATTATTTTGCGCGATATAAAAAAGTTAAATGTGCATCTTGCTTCAGATCATAACGTTCCATAACACCGATAAACTCCGCCTTTTACCTAGAGCACGCCTCTAGCCCAAGCTGGCCCGCTTGGCCCAAGGTATTCGATGGGCCAGAAATCCTGGCCGCTAGTCCCGAGCAAGCCCCACAAGTGACAGTGGAAACGCGGCTATTGACTTCCATAGTATGAAAAAAAAATACTAGTGTGGGACACATCAACAGCTTGGTCATTTTTGGGTGAACTATCTTTTAAACGCTTTATTGGAATCAATTGGGATTTGAGGTCAGAGTTTATTTTGAGGTGAAATAGTTAGAAATAGTTGCGTAGTATTAACTACAGGTGCTTATAGTGTTACGGTTAAGGTTAGGGTTTAGTTTAGGGTTAGTTACTTGTAATTATGTATAATTCACGGTTATTACCAGTAAGTACATGTAGTACTGTCACCTAAAAATAAAGTGAGTCAAATTAGGTCGGCTTTTTCGTGGCTTCCTTTTAAGAATTTTGCTAAGTCATATGTACTCTTCACAGTGGCACTGAAATTATATATATCAAAAATAGATGTTATAGATGTTCACGTCAGGGGAAAAAATTTTCAAAGATTAAATGAGAAATTTACGTTGACACATATATTAACATTATTTCTTTGACAGGCTCATTTAAATGATTACCATTTATTGACCGCTTAGTTGCTTTGGTTCGTAGCACACAGAGAACATTTTGGTGTTTGTATGTGTGAGAACCGTTATTTTGCTCGATTCTTTTAATGAACCAGTTCACAAATTGAACTTAACTAGTTTGATTCTTATACAACCCGCTATCCTTTCAGTTGTCAAACAAAATGTCAATGGAAACACTTGATGACGTAAACGTAAAAAAAACTGAAGAAATGGCTTGTTGAACCGGTTCATTGAAACAAACTGTTAAAAAGAATCTATTCATTGAAATGAGTCAGACTTCTAGAACTAATGTGTGGCATTTGCCTGAAGGCTGGGTACATTGATTGAATGCTGATATTGATCCAGTTGTGCGGTGGTTAGTGATGGACACTGAGTCCGTCTCAGTTGACCTTCCAGTCAGATGCCTTCACCATATCAACAAAACATTCACATCCAGAAACAGAATGATTGACAACACGATTTATTTTACTGTAGGTTCGCTCTATAAGCATCATCATGGCATTGGATTACATGTGCACCAGACAAAATCATCCAGCAATTGCTTTATGCATACAAACAATCCTACATTTTTCTGGACGGCAGCTTAATGAAAGCATCATGAAGTTCAGGAAAGTACAGAGGACAAGAGCTAAAGAAATTGATTGGTAAAAGAAAAAGGTTTAGACTGACCATCACGTACAGTAGAGCATCTAACCTGTCTGCGGTTTTAGGATTCGATCTGTCACTTGTTTTTGTTGAAGGTCAAAGAGCAAGAGATTTTCTCTTTCGTGGCCCCCTCCTTATAGGCGAATAGGAAATACATCACTTTCCGCACCTTCGCCAGCTCGGCTATCCTCTCTCCGAACTCCTGGATGTCCGCCTCCAGGCATTTGATGGGCAGATCATCAGGATCTCCGGTGTTCCTCCAGAACTGGCCGATGGGCTCCAGCAGCTGCCTGGTCATCAGGTTGGTCAGGTCGGGCGTCCAGAGCTGGCAGATGCCGGTGACTGTGAAACGGCCCGTTCCTTGCAGGGTCACGTTCCAGTGGGAGAAGGTCAGCTCCTGCTCTCTGAAGTCCAGCCGGTAGACGGACTCGTACGGCAGGAGAAGCCTCTCGCCGTCCTGCCTCTTCTGACCCCGCTGCTGCAGCGACTGCACCCTCAAACGCATCATCTCCGTCAGCTGAAGGTCCTCGGTGAAGGTCAGCTCCATTTCCGAACCCATGACCCGATAGTCTTCGAGATGAGGAAGGAGCTGTCTGCTCGTGGCTTGTGTCTGTGTGCGACTGAATAAACTCTCTCCTCTTTCAACCTTCACTTTCCATCCCCACCCGCTTCTGTGGCCCCCACGGGCAAAAAGCCTCATTTAGTTGGGGACTTTATTGATTCTGCCTCACATGCTCTGAGCCTCTGGATGAGTTTTGGGAGCAGGAGGAGGAGCAAACCAACCGGAGACTCGCTGTTAGAGTTTGACGTATTGCTGCCTGCACTAGGCAACAGATGCTTGCTGCTGTTCAAGAAACTTTAAGGAGATTTTTGTGTGTGTGTGTGTGTGTTTGTGTGTGGATAGTTTAAATATACATTGGATTAACAGCATTTATTTATTTAATTATTACAGTTAACCCAACATTGTCATTAATAAATGCATCTGAACATTTTACTTTATTTTTATTATTTACTTTATTTTTATTTATTTTATTTATAAAATAGGGTTAACAATTATTCAAGAAAAAAAAATATTTTATTTAAATTAATTTTATTTCTTTGATTTTGGAGTGAAATATGACCTGGGCATGTTCTTTCATTTGATTCACCCATAAGCTCTTTTCATTCACCATATTTTTCTGATCTACATCAGGTCTGTCAGTGTAAGGTTAAGTTGACTTCAGTTAAAAATAAAATAAAAAATACTGTATTTTGCTGTTTATAGGTTATTCCTGATTGGAAGGACCAGGAATGGGATAAACCAGAGAGCTATGCTGGGATTTTTCATTTTCGGTTCTGGCGTTTTGGGGAATGGGTGGACATCGTCATTGATGACCGACTGCCAACCGCAAACGGGAAGCTCATCTACTGCCACTCCAATGACAGTAATGAATTCTGGAGTGCTCTGGTGGAGAAAGCCTATGCCAAGTAAGTACCACTACCAGTATAAACAGAAAGAAAAATGCCTTCTTGAATGAAGCTAGCAGATACTTGGAGGGATATATCAGATATAGGTTGATGATAATAAGAAATGTTTCAATGGTGTCTGTCCTTCACTAAACTGTTTTTTTTTTTTTTTTTTTTATCTGACCCCTCGTTTATCAGGTTATGTGGATGTTATGAAGCTTTGGATGGTGGCAACACAGCTGATGCTCTGGTGGATTTCACTGGCGGTGTATCTGAGCCCGTGGATCTGCTGGAAGGGAAGTTTAACCAGGAGGAAGAGGCCCGTCATCAGCTGTTTGAGCGGGTTCTGAAGGTCCACAACAGAGGAGGTCTGATCAGCTGCTCCATTAAAGTGAGTTTGATGTCAAGTCGCGTGCATTTGTGTTTCATGCTATAAGAAATGTAAGCGTATTTATTGTACTAGTCATATTGGTTTCGTGGTTGGTTGGCTATACTTCTCAATACGTTTTTTTTTTGTTTTTTTTTTATTCTGTTGTCATGTCCTGCCTCATAGACGTCCATTATTCATGCATTACTGTAAACACAATTTCTATTTATTTATTTTTATACATTTTATTTTTATTTTCATCAAAATGGGTTATCAGCAGCATGCCAAAGGTGCTGTACATAGTTTAACTTTCGTTTAAAGGGATACTCCTCTATACAGTATACACCCACAGCAAGTGCTTAGGAGCACTTCAACTCGGCGCATATATATCTATGGACTCGGCGCAGTAATATCATCACTCGTGAAAAGTCCTGTCCCCCTCTCACTCTCCGGAGTGATGATATTACTGCACCATCCATAGATATATATGCGCCAAGCACTTGCTGTCGTATTCCGCCATACAGTTATCCACTTTACAGGTCGAGTTACACTGCTTGTGTAACTATTTAAATAGGGAAAACGTGGAGGTGTTTGGTCGCTTCTCTGCTTGGCCCATATTGAATGAACTGGGCTAGTTAAGTGCAATCAAAGTGTCTCACGCGACAGAGCGATTGAGTCCACGCACTTGAGACGAGAGAGGTATGCATCAACTCGTCTTAGTTAAGGGAATAACATAGTTTAGTATGAAAAACCGGCAGAGTATCCCTTTAAAGCTTTTTTAATTAGTATGCAATGGCCAATTAAAGTTCAACTTATTGACTCAAACTGAAACTCCTGCTCCTGAAACTAATGCAATAATAAATATGATGAACTCAAGTTTCATGCCGTCCAGTGTAATGTTTTCATTCTGTTTGGATTCTCTTTTCTGTAGGCGACTACTCAGGCGGACATGGAGGCGCGTTTAGACTGCGGCCTTGTCAAAGGTCACGCGTATGCTGTAACTGACGTGCGTAAGGTACGTCTGGGCACCGGCCTGCTGGCCTTCTTCAAATCAGAGAAGCTCTCCATGATCCGTATGAGGAACCCGTGGGGTCAGAGAGAGTGGAATGGAGCTTGGAGCGACAGGTTTGTGAACATCTCTTAGCTGTTAGTGTGTGGTTTATCGTTAAAGCAGACGCTACATATTTAAGCACGTCTGCATGATGTTCCAGCATAAATTTGCACACAACTACAGGAGACCAAATTCATTACTGTGTTTTCGGCATTTGTGCTGTCGCCGTTGTTTGTGCAATAGGAAAGGGAACTTAGCCTTATTTTAAGCTGGAATTTTCCCTGGCCTTCCTTCATGTAAATAGTGTGATTTATGACTACAAACACTTCAAATGATCATCTAAACAAATTTCCCCATTTGGTAGAAAAGCATTCGCCTAATGCTAACGTTTCCTAAACAATTAGGAAGAGGAATGATTTAAATCAAAACATGCTTCATAAATGAAAAAGGATTAAAGTATGAATGTAATTGTGGACAATGCATAATGCACATGCAACCATGTAAAAAAAAAAGAAAGATGCAATGGAAAAAACAGGAAATGTGCTGATACAGAGACGCTTTGTTTCAAACCAAGGATTGTGAGTGTTTTAAATGCTCTGTGTGTTTTTGTGCTCATGCTGCCTCCTACTGGAGGACAAGCTGAACATCAGGTGTCGTATTCAGTATTGTAAAGGTGCACTACATAATTTTCTGTTCATGCTAATACAGCAATTGTCTTTGAGTTTATTCTGATCTTGTTCACATTGCAAGAGTTTGGGAGTGAAAACCAGATTTAAATGCGAGAGAGAATACCCTAAATCAGGGGTCTTCAACCAAAAACCAGTTTTTGGACAATAAGACAGTGCTGAGACCTTATTACATACATTTAATACCATATTAATGTATTTACATACTTTTTTTATCATGCTTGCATTGTACTACATTAAAATATAATTATTCTAATGGATTGGCAGAGTCATATTGTTCATTAAATTTGAGTTATTGCACTAATTACATTATTATGTAGAAAGGACAATCAGTTATACATTTTGATAACATACATTTGAAGGAAACCTATTTTTTATAGTATTTTACAAAGCCCCGCACATATGCAGACAATTTTGTAGCCACAAATTAAGAATTTGTTTCCATTACTTATTAATTTGTTCCCTCGTTTCAGTAAATCGTGGCCAAGTTTATTAAAACAAGGGAACAAATTAATTTAAACAAGGTAATGTATTATACATTTTTTGGCCATGAAATGTGGAGGGATTTTTCTTTAATGCATTATTTGATTTCGATCCTAGATTAATTTGGTGGGGGAAAAAAACACATTTTTAAAAATGCAAAAGCAAACATTTTCAGTTACCAGAGCCATTTGTGAAATGCGTTGTTAGCAGGCATATTTGTCAATTGTATTATTGCTGTACCATTGTACAGTGGAAATTGAATTACCACACTATAATGTTTTTTGTTTTTTTTCTGAATCCATTTCTGTTTGTCTCTGAATCTGTAGCTCAGAGGAGTGGAAGAAAGTCAGTAAGGGTGAGCGAGAGCGGTTGGGTGTGACCGTGGAGGATGATGGCGAGTTCTGGTGAGATTAATATCTTGACAGGTTTTGCTGTGTTTCAGGACTTTGTGCATTTAAAATTGTGAAGGACAATCAGAAAATCTGTTAAACAAAGGAATATTCTGATCAAATCCAACTTAAGCTTCATCTATGACATGGTGTCGACTACCACAGAAAATCATTTGGCATCTTTCAGCTTGTCTGTGGAGCATTAGAAATGTGAAGCTTGTTGAAGCGCTTGTATTAATTCGTCATTGCAAAAATAAATATTATCCTCCTGTTCTGGCATCTTTGCATGTATCATATGAAAGTTACTGGGTTTACCTGGTTTACATGGTCATGACAGGAGCACTGAAACATTTTACAACATAACATTACATTGCATGTAACTGTTGTGACTATACTTTTCAAAACAGTGTGTATTTTATTGTTTATTGTTTTGTAATATCCCATTTTATTTATTTATTCATTCATTTTTAAAAACGTATGTCGATTATCTAAAAAATGATCTAATCAAATCCTTCTGTAATTAATCATGATTAAGCACTTCTAACATTTTAAAGTCTTCAATATTTTTTTATATTGTAGTAATTTCACATTTAAAGGTGCTTTATGTAGTTTTAACAGCCTCTAGCGGTGATGTTTCAGATTGCAACAAAAGCGCGCATGCTCAAACTCAAGAGCGAGCGCTTATGGTACACGGCCACACTGAGACTTTCAACACACCGGAGAAAGCATAAATAGTATGAGTAGTGTGTTCACACAGGGGATGCACCGAAATGAAAATTCTTGGCCGAAACCGAAAACCGAAAAAGAGGAAACCAAGGCCGAAAACCGAAACACTGAAAGAATTATTAGTATCATTGCATTTATGGCTATGACTGTGTACAAACTTTACTAAAATCAAGGCATTGCAATTGCATATTAATATCACATTTTCAAAGAATAAATCAATTACAAATTATGCAAATATTTATTTAAAAATAAAATAAAATTCTAACTAAAATGTTTAACTTGACTCCACTCATGTGTACACTAAATAATAATCTACTGGCCTGCAGAAAGGTTTTAAAATGAAACGTTCTCTCAAAAACAAAGCCGAGCGCAAACTTCTCATCAAACCAGCACCCAGTTTGCATGTCTAAATTAGTTACATTTTAAAAATTTGGCATACAATAGCATAAAAAGCCTTTTTAAATGAACAATGGTCCATGTTTAATACAAATGTACATGAAACTTAATGAAACATGTTTAGTGAATGTATTTAAATATTTAAGAGAGCATTAATTTAGTTCTATACATATACATA